TCTCTCTCAAATTCATTCCCAACCACTTATTTCTCATGCCCTGCAACACAAACTGGAAGGATTAACAGAAGTCACTTGATCCTATTTTGTTCACAGGACAGGAATCCCCTCCACCCATATGGATAAGGTTAGTCATTACCACATTATTCACAACAGCCAAACACTGGAAACAATCCAAGTGGTAAATATATATTAATCCTGGCCTATTCTGTGATAATATGCCATGCCCCTATCAAAAAGAATGAGGAAGCTAATATATAGAAGGTTTCCTAAGGTATAATCAGTTAAAAAAAAAAAGTGCATTAGCATGAATATTATTATTTCTCTAAAATGAAGATGTATGTGCATATTTGTTTGTACATAATTATGATCTGAAGTGTCCCTCCAAAAATATATGTTTAAATCCTAACCCCCAAAGATAGGGCTAGCATTTGGGCCTCTGGAGGTGAGGTGAGTAAGTCACAAAGGTGGCTGCTGATGGGGCACAGCACCCTCTTAAGAGCTTGCTCATCCCTTCGACCACATGCAGACACAGCAAGATGGAAGAGGACCCTCATATAAGCATGCCGGTGCCATGGTCTCAAACTTCCGGTCCTAGAATTGCAAGCACTAAATTCCTGCTGCTTATGAGCTACCCAAATGGTGATATTTTGTTATAACTGCCCAGACGAAGACAGTATGAAACATCCCTTGAAAGAATATCTAAGAAAACTGACCACTGCTGGTTGCCCCTGAGGAGGAAAACCAGATGTATGGGGGGGAATGAAGAAAGGAGACTTTCCACCTTTGTGACCTTTGAATACTGAACCTCAAGAATATCTTATCTTTTCAGGCAAAAATAAATAAATTATAATTGTTTAAATTCCACCTGGACACCAAGGCTCCCCCACCCATTCCTACAGCTCACCCATTCACCAGGGTAAAGGCTCCACCCCACAGGGCAGATCCCTGCGATCAACACGCCCCGTCAGGAGCCACTAGTATACACACACGACAGAGCGCTGTTCTCAGTGCCTGTTCGTGCTCTCTTCAAGTGTGTCTGCATTCTCTCATTCTTGTTTGTGCCTTTTCTTTATCATCCACCTCCATTAGGTCTGTTACCAACCCTTCCAAAATACCTTCCAGAATTCTATAATCCTGACTATTCCACACAGTACAATACTATAACTGAATTATTTTCTTAAAATAAAACAAATGTCGGCCCTCCCTGGTGGCGCAGCGGGTTAAAGCACAGAAGCCAAAGCCACTTCAGCATGAGTTCAATCCCCACCCGAGAGGTGACCACATGGCGCGGCAGACCTCTCCTGACTGCCGGCTGCTCCCTCAGCAGTGTACTTCGTCAGTCGGCCTGTTCTGCTCCCTACTCTGTCTCTGGTGAATCCTCTCACCGCCCCTGAGCCTCTGGCCTGTACCCCAGTTCTGTATGCATAAATAAATAAATCTTTGTAAAAAAAAATAAAATAAAACAAATGTCATGTAATAAAGAAGGAATAATTTCTGCTGATGGACAAAACTGCCACACTGGGGTACAATTAGAACACCAAATAAAAAAGAAAAGTCTAGTAATGAATGTCCTTTCTGATGAAAATCTTCAACTGGTTTTCACTGACAGTAGCTGGAAGGTCAAAGTCCTTACTGCTTTTTATGAGATTCCCCACCTTGACCTCACCACTTCCCTTCAGCTTTGCATACCTGACATGCTCTTCCTCACCCCTGGGTTTCACTCCTGTTGCCTGTCTAACTGGAATTGTCTTCCCCCATGCTCAGAGCCCTTTCCTCTGACTCAGAATCTGTTAAAAGGTCTTCAATCTACAGGTCAATTTTGGAAGAACTGACATTTCACCGTCGTCTTCTAATCTTTAAACATGGGATATAGCTCCATTACATTTAGTCTCTTTCAATGTCCTTCAAAGCACACACACAAATTGTACTGCAGTCTACATAAAAGAAAGGAAAACTATTAGAGCTACAGCTCAGCTCCAGTTTGATCTCTCCCAACAATCCACAGACACCTTTACTTTTCCAAGGATCTCAGAAGCAGCAATAAGTAGTCAGATCACATAATATTAACTAATTCACCCTATCATGTAAGTTACAAACTAAGGTAAACTCCTTATTGGTTTTCTTAAATGAGGTTATAATGGTTTACAACACTGTATAAGACATAAGGGTCAAGTTAAACTGCTGAAACCCATTCCAACTACATCCAAAAGTTTCAAGTTAAAAATGCATTGCCCTGGTGGCGCAGCGGGTTAAAGCACAGCACAAAGAAGCCTAAGCCACCTGCACATGAGTTCGATTCCCCGCCTGCCCCGGAGGAGATCCACATGGTGAGGCAGACCTCTCCTGACCCGCCCGCTGCTCCCCTCAGCAGTGTACTTTGTCGTTCCTCTGTCTCTGGTGAATCCTCTCACCCTCCGCATCTCTGGCCTGTACCCCAGTTCTGTATGAATAAATAAATAAATCTTTAAAAAAAAATGCATTGCCAAAATATGTAAAGAGTTCACAAAAGGAAACAGCAACATCCCTAAACATACAAAAATAAATATAACTTTGATCATTAAAGAAAAGCAAACGAAAGCTATAAGAATAACAAATACATACGTGGGCCCTCCCTGGTGGCACAGCAGGTTGCAGCTCTGCACTACAGAGCTGAGCCAAGCCACAGCGCTTCAGTGCGAGTTTGATCCCCACACACATGGTGATGTGATCCGTGACACACACGGCACCACAGGCCTCTCCTGTCTCACTCATTGCTCCCCTCAGCAGTGTATTTCAGTAAATCTGCCTGCTCTGTTCTCCCTCTGTCTCTGGGAAATCCTTTCAGCCACCTCCTGCCCTCCATCCATATGGCCTACTCCCCAGCCTTCGTATACATAAATAAATAAAGTAAGTCTTAAAAAAAAAAAAAAGAATCAGAACTACTAAATGCAATATGTGTACCTTATTTGGCTCCTAATTATGACAAACAATAAAAACAACTGGGTAATTAAAATATGGACTGAATAGAAAGAATTATTGTTAATATTTTAGTTGTGATCTTAATATAGTAAAAGCAAATGTCCTTATTTTTATTTACTTGAAAATATTAAGTATTTTAAAGAGAGATGCAAATTAAAACCACAATGAGATACCACCTCACCCCAGTGAGAATGGCATATCTTAAAACAATTAGCAACAAGAAATGTTGGCGAGGATGTGGAGAAAAGGAACTCTCCTGCACTGCTGGTGGGAATGCAAACTAGTACAACCACCAT